TTGGATCAGTATGGGAACATACAGATGTTTAAGTGATTTTACAGACCTGGAATTTTTGTTTCTCTCATCAACACCGTGTTTGAATGTCAGTATTGATGTGAACACCCTTCTATCCTGTCATTTCATGAGGATGAAAGAAGATTTGAAGTAAAATTCAATCATTTGGCTATCACCACTACACTATTATCCAAGGATGGGATGTTAGAAAAGGAAAAGTTGAATCTATCTGTCACCTCTTCGGTCATAAGGGTGACAGATTCCTGGATCCGCCGTAAAATCATCTCTAAACTCCTAACCTCATAATGCAATGCCTAAACATTGGAAACACTATTTAGAAACTGATCCAAAAAGGATCAAACTCGTTAAATAACTTATGATTTCCTTTCCTACCTCTTTCTCATAAACCAAGTTCTCTGCAACTATATCTTTGACCCGCAGAGTTTTCTGAAGGTAAGGCTGGTCAAGTAAACATAAACAAGGCAAGTACTTTAAGAGCAAAGATCTCGCATTAATTCCCGTATTCGAAATGCAGTAAAAATGCAAACTATAAGTCTGATATGGATATCTCTTCCACTTCAAGTTGATATTCATTTTTAATCTTTTCTGCTTCCAGCTGAGCGGAAAGCTCTGATATTATATTCTCCTTGCGCTGCAATTCTGATTCCTGATACTCTATTTTCTCTTCTAAAGTGCTGATTTTCTCTGCATAAGGAAACAAGATAAAAATCATAGTCTCTTAACAAGGGTATGCATACAACATGTCAGTTTATCAGTTATATCACGATGATATGTCTTAGATGCATAGAGAAAGCCAAAGACANTAACATGCATCATACACACTTCTACAGAATCAATCAATANCAATAAAATGACAATTTCCAGAATTCCATTCATCTAAACACCCTTTTAACCAAGAGACCACATGAGTTAACGAACAGTTACGTAAACCTACAACCATCAAGATGCCATCAGGGCAGATTAAATGACTAGAAACTCACCGATAAACACTTTTTCATATGTAGAGACATGGTCCATTTTCTCTTTCAAGCCAGCCACTGGATACAAGAAACAGCATAATCATGATCATTGCCTTGGGAGAAGCCGTGTATGCATTAGTATTCTGGAAGGACACATGTCCTTTAGCAGAATTATGAAGAGATCAGGGATCTACATGCCTACATCTTCTTTTTGATCCACAAGGCCCTGAACTTCGTGTATGACCTTTTTGATTTCCGATGCCTCTTTCTCGATCGAATCAAATAATTGTAAATGAGAGGTTATCTTCTGCTGTAGGATGGAAATCTTCCTATCCCTGGCTTCAACTGAACATTTCATTTCACAAAACGACTCCTACAAACATACCACCATTTCACAAATTGAAGTTAAACAATTCCTAGAACGAAAATGTATCCTTATCCATATTATCAAAATTCGACTGTTTACCCATCATGGAGATGATTCTCTAAGCTATTGCTATTGCCCAGATCTGGTCTAAATTTTTAACAAGATGAGAAATATGAGACAAGCAAAGCACCTGGTAAGCATTTAAGAAACTTTCTCGTGATTGAAGCAGGTTTTGGATAGTTGTCTTCAATTCACTCTGCTTGTTTTCCAGCAAACCATAGTCGTTCTGAAGGTAACTCACCTGCAAATCAATCCAACTTTCTCACAAACTCCATATCTGATTGTAATAGATTCGTAGAACAAAGGAATCTTACAAACCTTCCTTTCGAGTGCCTCCTGTGTTTCTCTAGAAGAAGCTAACTCAGCTTGAAGCTCCTGCACTTTCCTGCTGTATTCCTCCTCCGTTTGCTTCTGTTTCTGTATAGAATCACCAAACGACACCATCACGACTCAGAAACGCAACAAAAAAACAAGAGCCGAGTACATTGACATTGATTGAAGAACCTGATTCACGAGATTAATGTGATCTGTGACTGATCGCTCCCTTTCCTGCATAAACGCCGGTAGTAAAGTG